AATAGATGCCTCTTTGGTATTTTAGTGATATTTGTAAAAAGAAAAAAAAAGGTTAAGTCTTTCCAAGCTGTTTCTAGCAATTTTCCAATTGAATTGAGACCACATAGAAGTATAAAGGACTGTATAATCAGAACCGTGATGACCAGAATTTTTTCCTCTTTTTTGCTTCTGTGAATACTTCAAAACTGAAAGTTGTTGCGCTGTTGACAGCTGGCACTATAGGTTTACTGTGTGTCAGAAAAAATGCACATCAGACCTACCCATGGAGACAAGTACAGGTAATTTTAGGATGTGATGGAGGGACTTTCGGTCTGACCCAGAATCACAGTTCATATCTATAAACCACACAGGACTCTAAAGTGTCACGAGTTCTCAAGACTGCTGTCCTCAATTGCTGCTCTATGCTTTTTGAATAAGAACGAACATTGGAAGGCATTTTCTGGAGAATCCTAGGGTTAGATGCAAACATCTTTTGCAGCTGCTGACAAGACAATGCTGCTCAGCCCCGGCTCTCCCAGTAACAAAGGCCAGCCCTTTCTCCCCTGCCTCAGTCAGTAACACAGACAGCACCTATTTCTCAACTTCAAATTTACATCCACTCATTTCAAAACCAGTTTTCAAAACCAACACCTACTGCGTTGAAGGGGCAAAGATACAACAGCATTGTTGAAGCTCCTGTTTCTTTCCTCTGACAATACTCCTGCCCTCCCCACAGATAACATCTCGCTAGAGTATTCCTTGTGAGTGGAAACAGACGGAGGCACGTCTGCATCTAACAAACCCCCTGTACATAGGTCACCTTCAGGGGTGTTAGTGACTCCTGTCCTTCCTGCATTGAGCAGAGACCTATTCCTTGTGCTGTACCAGAGATGAAGATTGGCAGGTGTGGTGTGGTGGGGTTAATGTACTAAAATTAAAACAGAAGAGTGAAGACACACTTTAACCACAAGTAAAATATCTGTTTTAGCTGCCAGCTTTTCCTCCTCCACCAAGCAACAATGACTTGAGTAGAGACAGAAATATCAAGCCTTTGAAACGTAAGTACAGCCAGTTTTCTTTTTGTAAAGCTTTTCCCTCGGGCTACGTAGCACTTCGCTCTTGCCTACATCTCCTCAGTTCCACTCTCTTCTACTATTTACACAGAAGCTTCTCTTGTTATTTTAAGAAGTAACCCCAGTTCATTGCTATGCACAATGAAGATATTTTGACCTACACCAGCAAATGATCTTACACAGCTTTTGTGTTTAGCCCCAGCTCCTTCTATAGACAGAAGCACAAAACCCTCACTGGATCGCCTTGCTCCACCATTTGAAAGAGAAAGCCCAGGATCAGGTCAGTATTTGCTTATGCTACTATCAATGTGTCGGGGTTTTTTTAATTATTCAAAATTATCAGTTTGAATACCATTCATGCAAAAGAACAAGGCCCAACCCAACGCACCGTAATCCAATCGCATCCAAGGCGATGGGTTTATGACCAAATAACGGGAGCAGTACTTACAAAGTGAGAGAAATTGTATCTAGAAAGGAGAAACCCTGGCTCAGGACTAGTTGAACAGAAAGACATTATGACATTCTTGTGCAGTAAAGGTTTGATGTGATGCTGAAGTGAACGAACAGGGAAATACTTAGTAGGTTAAAAGAGGAAAGAACTTTTCCACACAAAGCTAACAAAACTCTACATACACTACAATACGACTTTGGCACCCCGACTCAAAAGAATGCTGAGAACTGAAAAACATAGGAAATAATGGCATTTGTTTCAGATCTGAAAACCATATTTCACAAAGAATCTAAAGAGACTACTCCATGATTTTTATTTATTACCTAAACACTTTAAACTGTTACATAATGGCATAAACATATCCCATAATTCAAAGCTGAACCACAGAAAATATGATTTTGAAACATGTCACTTGGAAAATACTTGTATTTTCCTTTAACAAGAAATGTCACAATTTTGCCATCCCTTGCAAAGCCACAGTATTTTTCTGGCTGACATCTCAGGAGGCTGTGTGCTTCAATCTGCAAAATTCACTTTCAACAATATTCAAAACTTGCTTATTTCATGGAAAGTTTAATTAAGCATCCTCACTTTCATTTTTTCTAAATGTATGGTTTTACTACTTTCAGGGAGGAAGCCGGGCTTTCCTGAAAAGGTAAGACCTTCTTTGTTTGGTGCTTATTGATGTTTTTCACCTGTTTTGATACATTTACATATTCTCTTCACTTGTTTTTTTACAGCCTCTGACTTCACAGCTGAGGTAAGAGTTTTGCCTCTGGAAATGAGATCTCAATGCCAGTATTACCCCGTTGTTTCTTAGTAAGCCGCTTTTTGCCTTTAATTCCTTACCTTGCTCCTGCTTTAGAACCCTGGGGGAACAGCTAGCAATGATGCCAAAACCTCCTGTCCCACCAAGCGACAGATACGAAAGAGGTAATCCACCTCCTCTGAGGAAGCAGAGTCCTGGAAAGTAAGTGTTCATTTAATTGAAAATTAATAAAGGCTGTATTCAGTTTAACAAAATACGGATAAGCAGCACAGGACAGTACAATTTACTGGTACTGCATGACAGCGGGGTCTGCGGCTCTCAAAGTTTTGCTTCGTGAATACGCACGGGATGGGCTGTAAGCTACAGGAAAGTGTGAAGGCAGAAGCAGCTCTGCAGTCATATCTGAAACAGCCCTTAGGCAGGGCGTGACTCACTTCCAAGTTAACACAGAAAGATACCATCCATGTTTTTGCCACCAGCTCAAGTTCTTGCTCTAGGGTACATCCTTCCAGGAGTTCTATTGCTTTTTTTTTAGGATGTTAGAAAAAAGAAAGCTTTACTTTCCTACCGTTGATTTTAAAAGCCTGCAAAACTCCTTCTTAATAGCAAACAGCATTCTCTAGCAGAACTAGATAATTCTCTAGCATTTTCTAGATAACTTGTGGGCTGAACAGTGTGACTGATCTTAAAACAAAATAAGAAAGTAATTGAGATCTGCTACTCAGCCAGGATAATTTCTCAGAGAAGCAAAGACTGGAAGGCTTCTCATGTGCTCCAGCAATGTTGCTACGTACTATAAATGAGTTCAAGACTTGTAAAATCTTGTTTGAAGCTCTAATCTTGTAATTAATTCATGAGATTTTCCTTGTTGATAGAATCAAGACAGACTAAGGACTAGCATAACATCTTAGATTATGACTGAAAATTAGAATCTTAGACACGAGGAAAAAAGTGTTTCTGCATTCACTGGGTCTGTAAAACTTACTATAAATTCATGTCTTACTTGAAAATATGGCCCAATGAACACAAAGTGAATGAGTAATATTCCACCTATGAGTCATGTCTTGTTTTCTCTGTTTCCTTTCAGGCAGGGCTGGCCCCCACAAAAAAAAAATGGAGTAAGTATAGTCTCGAGGCAAATATTTAAAGGTATAGGGAGTACAATGAAATGAAGTACCTGTACAAACTAATAATTCCGGACAAGGTAAACTCGTTTCTTTTATCAGTTATAGTGAATACTCAGGGATCTTTCATAGCACATGCTTCCTTTTTGAATTGCTCTATGTCAAGCTCAGTTTATTCCCCGAGTACTTTATCTTACACATCAGGAAGAATAAGTCCACATTTTTTTTATGACATGGAAGAAGTGATTTTGCTTACACTAAGTTTTGGGGCGTTGGGTGTTTTTTCATCTTACGCTGACTTAAGGATTTCACTCTCAGATAACTCTGAGAGCCTACACTTACTGAGGGAACGAGGAAAGTTTACATCTGCTGAGTTTCTGACTACTTTGGGTCAGGATCCATCACGAGACATCTACCTCACAGCTTATTTGTAAATAATAGCTACACCTTAATGCAAGAACTGTAAAAATCATTTGGTATTGCATGAAGGTAGAAATACCAGCATTTTAGATGAAAGTGACAGTACAGATATTAAAGTCCCTGTATACTCAAAATTCACCAACTTCCAGGTTTTCGTTTTGTAAAATCTGCCTAAGACCTGTGCTAAAATATGTTGCTAATGCTTATTTTCCTTTGGCTCCCCAGGAAGAAGAAGAGAGTAAGTATTTCTACAGCGATTTTTAAAACTTAAAGCCTTTCTTTGTCTCAGTTCTGAAACTAAATAAAATGATGGCAGAGTTGTTTCTTTAGAGTCGGTTCAGAAAGACGGGTGGTACCTTGGCAGGCTGTAGAATGCTCATAAAGCACCTCATGCGGATTTATCCATCAAAGCCACGATACACAGAAAATCAATAGCCAACAGCTTCCTTCAGTCAGCCACCTACAAGACAGGAGGATTTCTTATTTTGAAACACATTACATTTAGAGATTTGTGAGCTGCACACAGCAGCAAACAGCCAGGCATGGAGACCTGGTATCCTCCCAGACTTCACCACAATGTTCAGTCCAACCCTGCTGGTCCTAGTCTTCTGTGTAACGCTATTTACTCTAACAAACAGAAGCAGACCTCGTGTTGTGTTAATAACAGCATTTATAATTTACTTCATAATCCTAGTTCCTAACATTAAGTCGGTAAAGTGACACCATAACAGAAGCAGAACATTTGGCCAAGTGTCTACAAATTATCACTGTCTCTAGGACTCCAGAAAGAACAGGGCTATTGAAGCTGTGCAGAGCACAGTTAATCTGTTCCCCTCTAAGCAGCAGTTGCCATCTGAGGACACTGCAGAAAGTAAATCTTTTATTTTATGCTGTTCATGATGATATGGGAGAAATCTCACAAAGGAATGGAGTTCAAAAGGTGACCTCAAATCCACTATTTAGAAGCAACGTAACAGAGCACATGGTTACGTACCACCTTCAGCTCTACTGCAGTCTAGGTATCTGAATTGTAGCTCATCCAAAACAGAAGTTAGAAAACAGAAATGTTGCTCATATCTGTTGCAGCTTTTTTAATACTTAAAATTAAGTCCTCAGTTGGCCACACGAGTTTACAATTACATACCAAGGACCCTTATAGAGCAGTTTAC